CCTTACTCATTTCATCAAGCAATCTTTCCCCTTCAAATTCACTCTGCCAGAATTCCTGTAACCATGCCAAATCACGTAGCTAAAAAGCAATTCTAATCTTTATACAGCGATCACACTGGGAATCAAGAATGACTGGCAAGAGCCTAGATTAACTGAAAGGAAGTGACTCAAAGAATCCATAGCCACGGAAAGTAAAGAATAAGAATCCAATAAACAATCAAAGTTTAATCCACATGGATTTATCTTGGACATAATAGACAATTGAAAATAGAACTGATTTTCATAAATAAAATAGTAGAATAAAAATAGAAAAATGGGCTGGAGAGATGGCTCAGCAGTTAAAAGCACTGATTGGTCTTACAGTGGACTCTGGTTCGGTTCCCAGAACCCATACAGCAGCTCACGACACATGTTACTCCGGGTCCAGGAGATCCAATGCCTCTTCTGGCCCTGGTGGGCACCAGGCATACATATGGTACACACAGGCAAACACACATAGACATAAAATAAATATAAAATTTTTAATATAATAAAGTGAAATGAAGACAGAATTTCTATAATGAAAGGACAGTAAATGTAAAACTTTGTAAAAAGAAAGGGAATATTTGAACATCACACTTCAAATTTCTCTATTCAGGCTACATATTTATTTTCATTTACTTTGAGGGATGTTGTGATGACAAATAAGTTAGAAATATTAAAATCCTCTTAAGCCTTAGTCACAGAGTATTTTTCTTATTCTCAAATAATTACCTATTTTTCTGAACACTTGAAGATGGTTGAAATCTTATTTAAATAAAAATAATTCAAGTCAGGCAATGGTAGCACACACCTTTAATCCCAGCACTCAGGAGGCTGAGGCAGGGGGATCGCTTTGTGAGTTCAAGGCCAGCCTGATCTAGAAGGCTAGTTCCAGGACAGCCAAGGCTACACAGAGAAACCCTATCTCAAAATAAAAAAAAAAAAAAGAAATAAGTGAAACCAAACTTTAATCGTAATCTGATTCCCCCACCACACTCTCCTAAAACTAGTACTTGAAGCATCTCCAAGCTTGCTCTAAATGAGATCATCATTCATGTTCTCCTTCCTAATGCCTCTAAATTCTGAACAGTACTCACTGCTATAGTTGTTCCTTTATCCTTCTCACTGTGCATTCATCAAATAGCAGCAGAGGAAAGCAAAATACTAATCTAACTCAGTGTGCTCTCCAGAGTATTTGTTATACTGCATTTTACCTAACACACCATGAACTTGCACATAAAAAGAGCATAGTAAAGCCACAGTGTAGGTGATACATCAAGAACTATAACTGACAACAAAAAGAAATGCATATATTTGGCATCCAGCTTTCCCTCTAGCTAAAAGCTATCATAAATGCAACAATGCAATTATCGTCTAGTAATTCTGGATTATTTTATAAATAATGCCTGTAATTGATCAATATGAGGGAATCCTTGTAAAAATTTCATATCTGCAGTTTCAGTCAGAGAAAAAAAGCAAATTGTTTCATAAGAAAAGCTAGTTGAAATTATTATTGATTAGCTCACAAACAAACTAAGGTGACTGATGTCATGCTCAGGCAATTGGAGGAAAAGCAAGTCCTTCAAAAGTATTGATGAATCCACATCTGTATAAGCATTTGACTAATCATGAACCCAGTAAGGCTCTTGGAAAACTACGCTGGTAGCACTAGCAGTCAGCACCAGCCTGCTTCTTAGGTTAACAAGGAAACAGACTGTGATCTAAACATACATACTCTGAAGCTCAGGCCCTGATGGCCACTCATATTTCAAAGCTATGAAATCAGATTATGTCCACCAACTTTGTATATTCAAAAATAATGAGAAAACTCTTCCCATCCCACCAAAATCTATAGGCAGAATGCTTTAGATCACAATCTAATGGCTAGCATATTAAAAATACCTGCAGAAAATTCAAGAATCTCCTGGCTTTTAGACAGTATCCCTCCTAAACAGTAACTCTGAAGCTTTCTTAGGAACAGAAGGAAAACAAATAGGATCTTAAATGTACTTTTTCACAAAATTTATTTGAAATAAAGACCATAAACTCTGGGACTGGAGAGGTGGCTCAGTGGTTAAGGGAACTTGCTGTTCTTACAGAGCACATGAGTTCAAGTTCTAATACTCACATGGTTAACATCCATCTATAACTCCAGTTCAAGGGGATCTGACACCCCCTCTTCTGACCTCCAAAGGCACCAGGCATACACAGGTACTCAGACATACATGTAGGCAAAATATTCACAGACATTAAATAATTTTAAAGATTATAAACCCCTAGGTGTAGTGGCCTCTGTCTATAATCCTATTAAAGAGGCTGAGGCCGCCGGGCAATGGTGGTGCATTCCTTTAAACCCAGCACTCAGGAGGCAGATGCAGGAGGATCTCTGTGAGTTCAAGGCAAGCTCTGGTCTACAGAGTTAGTTCCAGTACAACCAGAACTGTTACACAGAGAAAAGAGTCAGAGAGAGTGTGTTTCAAAATAGACAGCTATACACACCAACTTACAATGAAACTAAGGAATGAGATGATGGAAAGCTAGATACTTCATTTTCAACTTCATTAAAGTTGAGCCAGGTATGATGGCACACACATTTTCATGATCCCAGTATTGGGAAGCTGAGGCAGAAGTATCTTTAATTTGAGGCTAGACTGAGCTACAAAGCGAGACTGTCTCCTGAAGGAGGAGGACAAGGAGGAAAGAAAAGAAGGCAACAGGCATACACTTGCATAAAGGTACATGCAGCCAAAACACCCATACACATACAAAAATTTTCAATAGAAGTTGGGGTTGGAGATTTAGCTCACTAGTAAAGCACTTGCCTAGCATGCACAAGGCATTGAGTTTGGTCCTCAGCTCTGAGAAAAATAAAATGAAAAGGGGGCTGGAGATGACCCCGTGGTTAAAAGCACTGACTGCTCTTCCAGAGGACCCAGGTTCTATTCCTAGCTCCCAGCTCACAACTGTCTACAACTCTAGTTCCAGGTAATCTGACGACAGCCTCACACAGACATACATGCAGACAAAAAAATATCAACACACATAAAGTAAAATATTTTTTAAAAAGAAAAGAACCAACGAAATTTTAAACATACCCATTTGGTATGAAACACTGGTATAATGCTGAGAGAATTTTAGTGAGATCTACAGATTTTAAGTCTTTCTAATCCTGGATTCAATTGCATAGTGGGGGGGGATATGGTTTTATTAGTAGAAAAATCAGGTTACTGTGCTGAACCTGGGACCAACATTGGCTTTTTAAATGACAAAGATATACAGTACTTCTATTCCCAGGCATCTGAACAATAGCTATTTTTCTCTTAATCATTAACTTTAGAAAACACTCTGAATTAGCATTTTGATTCCAAAGCAATCTGATAGTCAACTATTAAATCCATTTTTTTCTTTGTGATATTGAAGAATTAAGCCTAGGGCCTCAGCTAATCTAGGCAAGCATTCTCTGATTATCATTTATTAAGTGCTTACAGTGTGCCTAATATCTATTATGGACTCTACATAGTTTGTACTAACACTTCAAGAAACTAAGAGTTTACAGTTGGCAAAGGATTATTGTGTTCAATTTATAGAAAAGAAAAGTGGCCAGCTGCAGTGTCAAAGGCCTTTAATTCCAGCACTCAGGAGGAAGAGTTGGAGATGTAAGTTCGAGGCCAGTCTGATCTACATAGTGAGTTCCATGTAGCCATAGTGAGTTCTGTGTAGCCAGAGCTACATAGAGAGACCCTGCCTCGAAAAACAAAAAGAGAAAAAAAGAAAAGGTACGGAAAATGAAGAGTGCATACTTCTTCAAAAAGGAGTAAAATTAAGATGAGAAGAATTAAGGGTATGTATATCCTGCTTGGATCAAACCAACTGAAATGTTTTACCTGACTAAAAACTGGGAAAACAGTAGTGAGCAACTGCATCAGTGCAGTAGATCCCAAGAGTGTAGAGACCCACTAAAACAGCGCTCAAGCACAAACTTAACCACTTCTTACAATTTTCCCTAAAAACAGAAGGAACAAAATAGTAGCTGTGAAAACACTCAGACTACCAAAATTAAGAGGGGGGGGGGACCCTCGGCATCTCTTAAAAGCCCAAGTCTCCACAGACTAGTCATTTACGGTAGGTACAGTTCACAAAACAACAGGACAACTGCTCTCTTGTGACCCCAGACCAGCCCGTACGTAAGACCACTTTCTCTCTGCAGAGAACGCCAGGGCCCGGGGAGGATGACCCCAGTGGCCCCGCCTGGCCATGAAGTCAGAGGGTGAGCCTAGCTCCAGAATCTCCACAGGTACAGCCAGCCCAGCAAGCCAGGGAAAGATTTCCAAGCCGACAGATGCGCGAACTGAAAAAGGAGGTCACGGAGCTGAGAGAATAGCTTTAACCCTTGGCTCGCTGGGAGCCCGGCGGATTACGAAGCCAGGCACAGGATCCAGAGCGCTCTGAGATGCGATTTGATTTTTTTTTCTTTCTTTTTTTTTTAAAGATGCAGGGGCTATGGCGGGAAGGCCTGGGAGCGCCGCGAAGCTCCCCACGCCCTCGGATGCCGCCTGACTTGTCCCGTCACGAGGGACTCGCTCCGCTCCACAGCGGCACCGCTCGCTGCCCACCTGGCTTCCTGCCGGGGCTCCCGCCCACCGCACGGAGACTGACAGGCGGGCACGGACGGAGGACCCCTCCGCGGGGAGGCTCCCCACGCTTAACTTCGAGACGCGGCCCGGTGCGCTCCTCCGTCCCCGCGTTCTCCTCTGCAGCTCCCCGGCCGCCGCACCCCCTCCCACCCGGCTGGCTCCTCAGGCCGCGTCGCGCCTCGAGCCCCCGGCTCCCCGCGTGAGCCCGCGCCCCGGCTCCCGGGCCTGCAGGGGGGGCTGGAGACAAAGGCTGCGGCGGCGGCGGGGCCGCGGTCGCCCGGACCGTCCCCTCGGGGCCAGCGCCGCGCCCCCCACCGGCTCGCGCGCGCGCTCGCGTCGCCTCACCCGGGGCTCCCGGCCGGGGCTCCGGCGCCAGCCGCAGCTTCAGCCCGACGAACAATGGCAGGAGGCGGCGGCGGCGAGTCCGAGGCTCCGGCCCTCTGCGGCTCGCGGGCTGGCGGGCTGCAGCCTGGCTGACTAAACCCGCCGGCGGAGGGAGGGAGGGAGCGAGCGAGGGAGCGAGCGAGCGCTGGCGGCCCCGGCGCGCGCCCTCCCGCCTTTCCTCGGCGAGCTGAGGCCGGCGCGGCCCGCGGCCCGCCCGCGCCCCTCCCCCCGGGCTCGCCACAACATTGTAGTAAATTCCTATTGGGCCGAGCGGGAGGGGAGGAGGGGGCCGGGCCCGCGGCCCGCCAGCGCATTGGCTGAGGCCCTGTTCGGGCTCCCGCGTCTCACCTCCCCCTCCCCTAGAGCGGTAGGGATCGGGGAGGGGAAGGAAAAAGGAGAAGGTGGGGGAAACGACAGGGGTCTGGCTGGCGTGCGCATGCGCGAGTCGAACCCGGTCTGGAGCTTAAGGCCGGGGGGCTTCTGGACTGCACCCGTGTGGAGAATGGGGCAACCAGCGGCCAGAACGCAGGTGAGAGCTGTCCTCCTCGTGGGGGCCCGGGAAGAAACCGCGATCTGGGGGGGTGGGGGGGGTGGGACTCAGGAAAGCAGAATCCACATAGATGCTGCTGAGTTGATCAGGCTGCCCCAAAAAGACCCCCCACCACCATGCTTTTAGTAACCTCAGGTAAAGCTCCCCGCTTCTCTAAGCCTTGGTTTACCCATCTACTCAGCTTGACCTTCTCCAGGCTTTCTTCCAACCCTGACATTCAATTAACACTTTGCCTCTCCAGGCTGCTATGTATGTAAGACCTAAAATGGAATCTTAAGTGCTGAGACCAAGCAAGATTTCACCTGTCTTCTGTCTTCATTTAAAATTTTAAGATTCTTCTATTTCTGCCTGGCATCCACCAAAAAAAAAAAAAAAATTAATCTAGCTTCCACGGTCTGGTCTCCAGATGAATTTAGGGTTGCTCTGAGAAGTGCGCATGAGTGTATTTCTCTGTAGAAGTTTCAGAGGCTGCTTGACCCTTCCACTTCCTGCCAAGCTGATGTCTGAACAGGGCTGCCTCCCCACAGAGCAGAAAGAGGGTTCCATTGTAAGCACACACTTAGAAGATAAGACAGGTCCTGCTATTTCATTTTGGAGATGAGGAAACCAAAGCAGAGAGGCTTAGCCCTGCCGGGATCAGAAACGAAGCATGTGGCATCAGAGCCTGCACAAGCCAGCTAGACTGCCGACTGCGGTAAAATCAAAGCGTTTGCAATCTCAGCTCAGCCTCTGGATTCAGACTGCTCAGTCTGTGCTCGCTCTCAGACCTCCCTAATCATTTGACCTTCTTTGTGCCTGGCTTCTGAACCCGTAAAAAATAGAATAAAGGCTGGGAGTGGTGGCACATGCCTGACACCCTACCACTTGGGAAATGGTGGCAGGAGTAACACAAATCCACTGCATAGTAAGTTTGAGGCTAGCCTGGGCTACATGATATTATATCTCATAAAAGAGGAGGGAAGACAACAGTCCCACCTGATAGAGTTTCTGTAACAATTTATTGATTAATTGATTAACTGATTAAAATATGTACAGGACTCAAATAGTGCCTAGGACATAGCAAAATCTCAGTTAAGTGTTAATTACACTACTACTCAGAGACTAAAATTATCCACTAAGGAGCACATGGCAGACAGATAAACACTCAGCTGTTGTTGGGTCTGAGAATATTTCTATGTCATAAACCCCTTGAGAACCACCTGACTACCTAAAACAATCCGTTCACACAGCCTTCCTCTGTTTTTGGTTTTAGTTTTGGTTTTGGGTTTTGTTTTTTGGGGGGAGGGGTTGTTGTTTTGTGTTTTTTGTTTGTTTTTGGTTTTTGTATTTGTTTTGTTTTCTGGGACAGGGTTTCTCTGTGTAACCCTAGCTATCCTGGAACTCACTGTGTAGACCAGGCTGGCCAGGAACTCACAGATCCACCTGCCTCTGCCTCACAAGTGCTAAGGTTAAAGATATAGGTAGACCGTGACTGCCTGGCTTCCTTCCTCTGTTTTAATCACTGTACTTTTTATAATGTTTACCCCTGCAGCCTGCCTCCTACCTACTGATGACTGGATCAGTCTCTCAAACTGTTGCATTCTGGATCCAAGAGACTGAAAACTGGAGAAGATGCACAGAGTGATGCTGACATAGTAAATATTTACTGAACCAGTGAATGGACTGTCCTTGTTTTACTAATAAGGGACTCAAACTAATAAGTGATCTGGCCCAAGAAACACCTGGTCTTAAACACCCCACTTTCCTGCTTTGAGCCCTTCAGGATCAGCTGTACCTTTGATTGAACAGTTCCAGTGTTCCCATGACATCTGGGTCTCAAAGGCTTCCTCTGCCTGTCTCAGAGAGGGAAATCTGGTACCATGAAGGATAGATACTGAAAATCCATCAATCATTTCTTCTACTACCATGTTAACCAGGAAATTCAGACTCTGTGAAGCTAAATGCTCTATATGCTAGCCAATGGTACATCATATTTAAAGGTGCTTGTAGTATTTGTAGTGTTCAGTAACTGTCGCCCCAAAAAGTATAGGTCTTGGGCTAGCAGAAACAAGGCAGGTGAAAAAAAAAATCACTCCTAAATTCAGAGTGTTGTGCAACCCCACACCAAAATCTGTTGGTCTAAGTTTTAAAATCTCTAAGTGTGCCGGGCGGTGGTGGCACATACCTTTGCCCCCAGCACCTGGGAGACAGAGGCAAGTGTATCTCTGTGAGTTTGAGGCCAGCCTGGTCTACAGAGTGAGTTCCAGGCCAGCTAGGGTTGTTACACAGAGAAACCCTGTCTCCAAAAAAGAAAGAAAGGAGGAAGGGAGGGATCTCTAAGTCATGAATTCCAACACTGGTGTTTCATTCATAGCCTGAAGATGAAAGCATCTGTGACATATATCTGTACATGAGCGATTTTCTTGTTATTATACACCATCACCTGTTATGTGTCTTATCTCTTGAGTATGGCTGAGCTCAACCAATACTGAGGACTACACCTATAAATAATACCTACTTGGAAGACAAAGAAACTAGCCTTACTCCTGGGCCCATCTGCTGGGCCAGACAGCCAGTCCCAGCTCATCCTGCAGAAGCTCCCATCGGGCACCAAGGGTAAAGGTCCCAAGCACCATCTCTGAGGCTAATTTCCTAGGCAGAAACACTTTAGGCTCTATGCTTACATCTGGGTGGTGGCTGTGCCATGATCCAAGGCCCAGGATAGGGTCCCTCAGGACCATCCATCCCATCTGCCAGCTGAGCCCCATCACTAACTCCCCATTACAGCCCTGCTCCTTTCTAGGGAATATAGACCCCGCTAGCTGTCATTTAGCCCCAGGAGCAGTCAAAAGCTCTAAGAGAAAAAAAAAAAGCATGAAAGGATCTTAATCCTTCCCCATTGCAAACTGAGCTCCAACAAACACATACACCAGCTGCATGAAACGGTGAAATGAGATAGTAAAATTGGGTAGTGGCCAGTGGAGAAAGTCAGGGAGGATAGATGAGGCCACCAGTGACCTAAAAGAGATGAGATTGGAAGGAAGAGGGAGGGGGACAGTTGGAGTCTGACCCATGCTCAAATCTGGGACGGGGGTGGATTAGGGACACAGCTGGCCTGAAGGCCTGGTGATAGGGCTCATGGAGAATGTTCATCTGCTGTGGCGGGCTTTGAAAAGCTGGGGATGTCAGCAAAATATTCCGAACAGTCATTACAGACTAAAAAACCAGCCCTAGCACCAAAGGCACAGAGAGCAGAACGCCCCTCCCATATTCTCCTTGCCATCAAACTTACACTATTTGTTACGTTATTTTATTTGAAACTAGGGGCTTACTTATGTGAGGCAACCATCCATCCCACACTGGCCTATAACTTGAAGCAAGTCTCCTGCCTTGGCCTCCAGAGTAGCTAGGAGTACAAGCCTGGTTACCTTAGACCTTGTAAACACAAGTGATTAGTCAAACAAAGTATACTGGTATGGAAATTACATTTAATGCAAAAGGAATGTCTTTCTAAGGGAATGTTTTTATTAGGAGTACTTGAATTTTAGAAAATACAGTTAAAAATAAATGCGATTAAATTAAACATATTATCAATCAAAAATGTTACTTCCACAAGGTTCTGTCTGATGTAAGACTTTTCCTATGAATACCTTTCACATACGTATGCACACACATATTTATAGAAGCACACATTTTCACGTATACAAATTAAATAATGGGGAATAGCTGACTTTAAGGTTAAAAATTACTAAATATCACCAGTTTCATATGGCTTGGTCTAACGTGCTTTTGTTTTTTTGTGTGTGGCACTCATCCATGCTTGTTTGTGCCTATGAAGGCCAGATGTCTTCCTCTGTCTTTCCACCTTTGTTTTGTTAAGACATAGTCTCTCACTGAACATGGAACTCGCTGTTTTGAGTAGATTGGCTGGCCAGTGAGCCCCTGGGATCCACTGGCCTCTCCCTTCTACTACTCCCCAGCCCGCCCCCAGCACTGAGATTACAAACACACCACCACATCCCAGCTTTTACATGGTGCTGGATATCAAACTCGGGTCCACGTACAAATATGGCAAGGACTTTACCCACTGAATATCTCCTCAGTCCCTCAGCCCAAAGGATTTTTGGTTTTGGTGTTTTTGAGACTAGGTCTCCCTATGTAGCTCTGACTGACACTCACAGGGTATCACAGAGATCTACTCTGCCTCCCGAGTGCAAGATGGAGAGAGGTGATTTTTATTTGTTTGCTCGTTTATTTTAAAATGTATTGTTTGGAGCTGGCTTTACACTTCACAATAGATTGTAAGCATTCAAATCATCATTTCTAACAATGCTATAATTGTGTGTGTGTATATATATATATACACATATATATATGTGTAATATATAAATATATAATAATGTCCTGTAATTTACTTAACCCTCTTGTGGTAAAGTTAGGTTGTTTCCCGTTTTCTTATCTCATAAATGACACTCAACAACTATCCCTTTATGTAAACTGTACTGTGATTATTTTTAAGGGTACATTAAACATAGCATATTATTTCTTTTAATTAAAGCACATAAGCCTGCCTGTTCC